TCTCTGCCCCCCTCTCCGTTGCTTTAAATATATTTAAATTCTGAGGGGGGCGCTCAGAAATATTTCTCAGAGCTGAGGCACTAAGATGGCCGCCTTGAAATTATTTTTAAAACAACCCCCCCCTCCAGCACTGCCACCCCCTCCATAAAGAAAGGGAGAGGGGGGAAAATCCCCTTTTAAAACAAAATGGCTGGCTTAATATTTCATTTTTCACCCCCCCATTCTCCTCCCTGTTACACCCCCATCTCCAAGCCTCTACCCAGAAACCCACAAATTTCTCCTTTTTCATAACTGATTAGTGCACAGATTAATAGAGATATTTTCCTTGTGTACTGAAGTGTGTGTGTGTGTGTGTGTGTGTGTGTGTGTGTGTGTGTGTGTGTGTTGGGGGGGCATGAAGGATTTCTGCATAAAACAAAAATGGCTGCTGTGACTAACTCCCCCCTTATAAAAAATATTTGAGGGGGGGCATTAATCAGTACTCATGCTCAGTCTGACATCAGCATAAATTGTTAAAGGTTAACTAGTTAGATACTAGTCCAACTAGATTTAATTTTTTTTCTTTTCTTTACTAGTCTCTTCCTCCCCACCTCCCTTCTCTAAAGAAAAGCTTTTTTTTTTTTTGAATACTTCAGAAGGGAGTGGTTTGATGTGAAGGTTTTTTTCCCCTTCAGGCATTGAAAAGGAAAAAGATGAAATATATGTTTATATATAACTCTGTTTCTACATACCTCATTGAATTCAAAACGCATTTAATTGTGTACATATCTTTTAAATGAGAAGCGGGACTGGATTTTTTTCTTCTTTCTTTAAAAAAAGTGATAGAAAGCCTAGTGACTTTTGGGGGAGAGATATGAATAGATACGATGATTGAGTTTTTTTTCAAAGGAGTCCATGTTTGATTCTCCCCTTTGCCCAGCCTTTTCAGTGATTTATAATTGTTGTAAATTTTACCTTCACTCTTTTCCCCTTTCCCTCGCTCTCTCCTCCCCCAGTTGCTTGAATGTAAAATTCATCTGACTTGAGAAATTAATTTGGGGGTAAATAGAACACATTTTTAGAATAAAGGGGAAAGAGTCAAGTCTGAAGATTGTGAAATTATTTTCTCTTTTCTTCCGTTTCAGTATGCTTCCCTTCCTCCATGATCTCCAACACTGATAAAGTAGAAGCAACTGAGGTACCGTGAAAGAGAAAAGGAACTGGAACTAAGAAAAAGCAAGAGGTAGGGGCTATACTCGGGTGTTTTCATCTAACTTTCTGACCCATAATTTCCCAGTGTTTATCTTACAGGAATCAGATGGACAGTTGGAAAGGAGTCCAAAAGTAGCTTTCTCATACAATGGTTTGATCTGAGAAGTCTAGGCATAAAATAAAACTTGCTAATGGAGCACAGGAAGGAGGGCAAGTAGCTCAGTTCTATCCTTTTTCATTCTTGTCACTCTTTCCTTATTCTAGTTTCCTCCCCTTTTGATCTCATTATGCCCCTTCTCTTGCTTCTGTCCCATGCCCATGGAATCATTTTTCCCCTGGATTATTTCTCTAGAGTGTAACTGCCAGCCACCCAGCTTCTGCAGTGCTCAGGAGCACCCTGGGTTGGGGGGTGATAAGCAGCAACCAACAAGTACTAGTAACTGGGAATACTGTGCACGTTTTTGTTTACGAAGCTAAAATATTCTTTATTAATGGTCTACTCCCCACACTAATGCACTTTATTGAACATTGATTTTCTTTTTTTTTTTAACCTGGCCTTTGGAATTCTCTTGCCTCTGTACCCGTATAATTCCTATACTGAGTCTAACTCCTCTTCTTCCATTTGATTTTGCTCTTGTCTTCTTTCTCAGTCTCTCTGTACTAGTTTGTCCAAGTCTCCCCCTCTTTCTCTGTATGAGCTTCTCTGTACTTATGTCTTTGATTTTCACTGAGACTGTCTTTCTCAGCCCTCTGACTCTCAGGCTCTGTCACCTCTAAGTGACTTTCCATCTCTGTCTTCTCTCTGTTTACTTCTGTCTTCCGGGCTCCGCGTGTGGCTCTTCCTCATGCGTGCCTTACTCCCCCTCTTTCTGGCCCCTTCTGTGTATGCCTGTGGATCATACTGTGTCTGGGATGAGTGTCTCCACGTGTATGTGGGCCACACTGCACTTCATGTGCGCCGCAGTGTCTCTGCCCCTGTGCCCTCTCCCTGTGCTGAGTGCCTCTGCCTGCCACATGTGTCATGATCTGCAGGTGTGGGTGGCTAAAGGTGGCCGTGTGCCTCCCTGTACAAACATTCATCATTCTCTCTCTTGAGTGTGCTTTGCATGTGGATTTCTGGATTTGCCTTATTCTCCCTCTCCTTGTCCATCTCCCCTCTGCTTGTCTGCATCTCTCTCCTGTTCTTTTTTTCTCCCCACCGACTCCTTGATTTTTCTTCTTCTATCCTTGTTTCCGCCTGCCTCTCTACCTGCTTGCTCCTATTATGGTGTCTGCCTGCCTGCCTGTCTGCTCCTCCCTGACTGGCTGGCAGCCTCTTTCTCTCTCTGGTTGTCTGTCTGCTTCTCTGGCTGTTTGCCCACCACTCTCTCTCTAGCCATCTGTCTCCCCGCCTGCCTGTCTCTATCACTTTTTTAGCCTGTATCTCTTGGTTTGTCTACCTTCCAGGCCCTGCCATGGCTCCCCATTTTGGTTTGCCTCTTATCTTGCCCCTCTACTTGTTCCTCCTCTTATTTATGCCTGTTAAGTTCATTATTTTTCCTTGCCTCCCTTTGGTCTGTTTTCTTGCCAGTCTACCCCACATGCTTGCTGCTATCCCACTGTTTAATGCTTGTCTCTTTTTAGTTTTTCTGCTTCTCAGCTTTTTCTCTCTTGGCTTCCTCTCTGCCAACATCCCCTCAATGGGGCTAGTTTCTCTCCCCAAACCTCTCAGTAACTCCCTTGCCTGAGAGTCTTGTCTGCCTTCTTTCTGTATCCCCAACCTGCTTTCTGTCATGCTTGCCTCCATTTCATTTGTCTCTTTTTCTTTCTATCTTTCCGGTTCCTCAGTCTGTGTACCTCAGTCTTTTTGCTGTTCTCCCAGTCTCTCACTGTCTTCCTGCCTTTTTGCTGTCTGCTTGGCAGGCACTTGCTGTCCACACCTTTTCTTGCTTTTCTTCTTGTTTTTTTTGTTTCGCAGTTAACTTTTGAACAGGTAGTACATACACATGGTATAAAATTTTTTAAAGTACAAAAAGTATACTGTAAAAAGTAAGCCTCCCTCCTATCCCTCTCCCCCAGTCCTCAAGTTCTCCCCAGAGGCATCTAGTATTTCACATTTTTTGGATACTGCTCCAGAGAAGAGTCTACATACACAAGTCTATTTTGCTTTTTGCTGTACTTCTCCATTACTTCTTTTTTTTTTTCTTGAGACAGAGTCTTACTCTGTCACCCTGGGTAGAGTGCCATGGTATCATCCTAGCTCACTGCAACCTCCAACTCCTGGGCTCAAGTCATCCTCCTGCCTCAGCTTCCCAAGTAGCTGGGACTAAGGCATGCACCATGACACTTAGCTATGTTTTCTATTTTTAGTGGAGACAGAGTCTCACTCTTGCTCAGGCTGGCCTCAAACTCCTGACCTCAAGCGATCCTCCCACTTTGGCCTCCCGGAGTGCGAGGATTACAGGCATGGGCCACTGTGCCCGGCCAACTTTCCCAGCTTTGCTGGATGTGCCTTCTGTCAGTCTGTCAGTACACTTTCCTAACTTTGCTCGGCTTACCAGGTATTATCTGTAGTCTTTTTGATTCTACTTTATGGCGTTTGTCTTTTCCATTGACTAGTTCTGGTTGCATGCTTTTTACTACCAGTACCTGAGGAGTGCTTGGGAAGAACTTGCTCTCTCCAAATCTATTCTACTCTGCATAGGAAGTTGTGTTGATGACAGCACACCTTGGTTGGTCTCTTCATCACTGAAATATGTATTAATTGAGAAAAGACACGAAAGCACTGGTAGTGCTGAAAAATACTATATAAATACAGGTACAATTAATAAGTATAGATAGTTTGTAAGCTGAACACACATAGAATAGGTAGAGACTCACTCTGGTTTTGCCATTTAGTCTATATGAATTCTTTAAAGGCATATGAGTCGAGATCCTTTGAGGTTGTTGACCTAGGCCTGTCCAAGAAGTTTATCTTCCTCCTAGTATAAAAAGCTTTGCTCATGATGAAAACTTCTCTCCTTTTTCATCCTTCCTTCTGGCTCCTCACACGTGCCACCTTAGAGACATTTTATAATTCTTTGAGAGAGACAAAGACACAGCCTATAACCAGGTCTCTCTCTGAGAAAGATGATAATAAGACTTCTATACCCAATGTGCTGTTCTTTCATTTCTGCTTTTTTACTGCCTGTATTTCTGAATTTAACTATTTCAGCCTCTGTATCTTTGTGTCTCTCCTTTCCCTTTTTCCTTCTCTCACTTCTCTTTTCTTGGTTCTGTCTTTCTTCTTATCTGTCTGTCTTGGTCTCCGTTCTAGTCTCTCTTTCTGATTGGCCACCTCCTCTCTCTTCTGTCTGATTGGCCTGTATCCCTCCATCACCCCATCTGTCTGCTGGATTCTCCCTGTCTGCCTGCAGTAGTGTGTGTGATAGCACTTTATAAATTATAAAGCACTATGTTGTATAAAACACTGTTATCACTTTGTCTTCCTTCTTACCTTATTTTTTCTTCCTTTATCTGTCTGCCTTCTCTCTCTCCTCCCCTCTCTGTTTGCCTGTCTGTGTCCCTTTTGGTGATATTGCCTGTTTCTCTGTCCGTCATTCTCCTTTCTCTCCCTGCCACCCTATCTTTCTGCCATCCTCCTTCTCTGCTCAGTTCTGGTGTCTCTCCTTCTGTTTCCAGGTTTCTCTGTATTTCTTTTGCCTGTCTATTCTGTCTGTCCTTAGGCCTTTTATCTGTGCCCGTGTGTCTTGTTGGACAGAGTCTTGCTCTGTTGCCCAAGCCAGAGTGCCGTGGCGTCACCCTAGCTCACAGCAACCTCAAACTGCTGGGCTCAGGCCACCCTCCTGCCTCAGCCTCTCGAGTAGCTGGTACTACAGGCATGCACCACCATGCCCAGCTAATTTTTTTTTTCTATTTTTAGTAGAGATGGGGGTCTTGCTCTTGCTCAGGCTGGTCTTGAACTCCTGAGTTCAAGTGATCCTCCTGCCTCAGCCTCCCAGAGTGCTAGGATTACAGGGATGAGCCACTGCGCCCGGCCCCTGTCACTTGCAATGTGGGCATCACTCTCTGCCTTTTTCTGTATTTCTGTACTTCAGAAAATTAAAATAAAATAAAAAATTAAAATCCTTTATGACTAATTGGAAGAGGAGACTATTTTTTGTTTTTAATGAGAAGACTTTTAAGGTGAGAACAAGGAGCTCAAACATTCAGCCGTCACATGCAAACCAGAAATTAGATGGACAGCCCCAAAAAGAACTAGAAAAAACATTTTAAGGAACTCTCAAGGCAATAATAAGATTATTTATTTAAAACAGAAGCAAGAAACTTAACTAAAGCTATAGTTTCTAACCTTTTTGGATCATTGAGAGTTATAAACCCTTTCCCCAGAAATAAAAAGTATACACACAAAATTTCACATTGTCATGGTGTTATGAAAATAACCCTGACGTCTGTGATCTCAGGTTAAAACTGTGGTATAGGGAACCAGTAAGAATGAGTGATAGAGCATAGACATGTACTTATGCAAGAAGGAGATCAAAGGACTAAAAAAACAATCTGTGCTTTTTCTACCCAAGGAGATGGTAAAGAAATTCCTAATTGTCTTTTGACATATGTAGGTTAATGATAATAATGAAAGGCATGTAAATGCTAAGCATATTCTAGACCTAATCATAGTGTTTTAGAAATGGGAGATCATGTAAATCAGTGATTCCCAGGTGGATAAGTACGGCTGCCACTTGTCCTTTCCTGGGAAAGTCTGTCCTTTATTCTGGCGGTGTATATTTCTTCTATATTTTTCTCATGTACAGTAAATATATAGTATACTATGTTTATGTGTAATATATGTATATATGTTTATATTTTATGTATTATAAATTATATGTAATATCACATATGATTGTTCAAAATATATGTACATATACATACATACACGTAATGTTAAAAATGTCCTTTCTAAAAATGAGATAGATCTGTATAGAAGAATGTCCATGAATAGATTTTAGAGAGAAAGAACAAGGAAATGACTTTTTACGCTTACTGTTCAATCTG